TTTATCATTGATTATTTTTTTAAAAAAAAAAATAAGATATTCTCACTTATCAGAGATGAGATTTTATAATCTTGAATCTATTATTGTGACTAAACAAACTCTTTTTTAGGAATTAAACATATGAGCCCGTTTGGACGTATGGTAACCCTATTTTCAATTTATCAGTATCAAAAAACATATTTTTCGCAAACACGTAACTTTTGATTTCATGTGCTACATTGTCTAATAATCAAATTAAGAGCTTTTAGTAACCTTAATTTTTAGCTTATCAGCGTTATCAGCCATTTTTTCTGTCAAACGTGTACTTTTTTATTTCGCTCGTTGAATTGTATACCAAACAGGCTCTAAACAAGGTTTAAGTTATTTTTCCTGCACAATTTACTGTAGCGGAACATTTTAGCTATAAATTATTTCATGGAAAATTCTCAAATTAATTAAGGTAGGTGTAAAAACATTTCAAAATTCTAAAATAAAAGTATTTTACTTTTATTCATTTAATAAGAGTAATAACTGTCAAACTTTGCTTAAAGTCGGATAATGTCGAAACATATAATATTTATTCTGGAACAAAAATTTAACAATCTTATACTCGTGTTGAAGTTCACAAACGTTTGTACTTATATTTAAAGTAATTACTTACTACGGGGTATTATTTATTAGCGCTCTCCCTATGACCCTATCTCTGTAATTAGAAAAGATCCTGTCCAGACGTCCGGACAGAAGCCGCCGTCCGGCCGGTGGCGTTTGGCCGCCTTCCCGGTGGAATTTTTTGATGATATTTTTATGGCAAGTTCTCCATCAAGTCTAGTTTATCCACAAAAAAATTCAGCCAAAAACTCAATCGGGAAGGTCGTCAAATGATTTTTGCAAGTTAACTGGTCCGGAATATGTATTTTCCGGACCAGTTAACTTGCAAAAATCATTTGACGACCTTCCCGATTGAGTTTTTGGCTGAATTTTTTTGTGGATAAACTAGACTTGATGGAGAACATGCCATAAAAATTTCATCAAAAAATTCCACCGGGAAGGCGGCCAAACGCCGCCGGCCGGACGGCGGCTCCTGTCCGGACGTCTGGACAGGAGCATTCCTCTCTCTGTAATTATCCGATATATGAAGATATATGTAGAGATAAGGTTTGCATTTAGCCAGGATTGCCGGTATGTAAATAGAAGTATCTTAAATTTACTGCAAGTGAATAAGTATTTATAAAAAAGCTTAAAATAAATTAATCATTGTGTAAATAGCACTTTTGAAATTTAGCACTCTTAATTTTATATTTGAAGTCAAAGATAATTTGTTTTGAAAACAAGTCAAAGATAAATTTAGTACTCTTAATTTTATAATTTGAAGTCAAAGATTAGCAAAAGTGTAGTACACAAAATAAATTAATCATTGTGTAAACAGAACCTTTGAAATTTATTACTCTTTACTGTGGTTAAAGGGGATTTCATATTTGAAGTCAAAGATTAGCAACAACAAAAAAGGTTGAAAAAAATAGACACACAATTTATACCTATATCTAAAAAAATACGGAGTGTAATAAAAATGGAATAGTGGAGCCAAAAGCTTTTGTAAATGGCAGGTGACATTACGCAAGCAGTTAAGGGCCTGGACACGCCGTGTCTAGAGGTTGTATGAGCTTTTTTCTTGTGCAAATTACCCGTGTAGTCTACTCTTGGTGAAGGACATCATTTATGGCCCAATTAATCTTTCTTTTCATTTTTAACTTTTCTAATTTCAATATTGATTTTTTATTTCACTTTTAGACTGGATTTCTGTTCACCCCTCCTTTCTGTCTCCTATTGCCGTCTCCTTCCCCTATCGGCTATCTCCTACGACTAAAACCTAACTCCTAAATCCATTTAGATCCAAGTTGTTTGGGACTTTGGAAATCGATGTTGGGCGCAGGTAACTCAAGCCTCACACTCGCCGATTTCAATTCGAAGATAGAGGAGTATCTATAGAATGTGATGAGTAAATGATTTGTGATCTTCACATTTGAAGTATGTAAAGGTATATATATAGGAGTACAATGAGCAGATAATGGCTAGCAACTAACTACTAGATAAGATTTACATTAATTGAATACATTAAATAAATATGATTATGATTTATCCCTAATATGCCCCCGCAAGTTGGAGGGTCTGGGAAGAACTCCAATCTTGAGATGAAGTTCATGAAACCGACGCCGTGGTAGAGGTTTCGTTAAAGAGTCAGCAAGTTGATCTTCAGAACGAACGTGAGAGACTCGAAGAATGCCATGTTGAACATGCTCCCGAACAAAATGATAGTCCAATGCAAGGTGTTTCATTCTGGAGTGAAACACAGGATTGGCACAGAGATGTGTAGCGCCAATGTTATCACAATAAATAACCGGCTGAGTAGGAATATGGACGTGTAGTTCAGTGAGAAGTGATAAAATCCAGCGAAGTTCAGCCGCAGTAGTAGCTACAGAACGGTACTCAGCCTCAGTGGATGACCGTGCTACTGTACGTTGCTTGCGTGAGCTCCATGAGATAGCATTAGGACCGAGAAAAATAACAAAAGCTCCAGTGGAGGTGTAATCATCAGGATTGCCAGCCCAATCGGCATCAGAATATGCATGTAAGGGGAGAGCGGAGGAACGGCGCAACAGAAGACCGTGGTCAACAGTGTGACGGAGGTAGCGTAAAACCCGTTTAGTAGCTTCCCAGTGCTCGGTAGTAGGGCGATGAAGAAATTGGGACAGTTTATTCACCGCATAAGATACATCAGGTCGTGTGAGGGCGAGATATTGAAGACTACCAACAACAGATCGATACTCTTCCGGATCATCGAGTGGTTGACCTGAGGTAAGACTGAGTTTGGCAGTGGAAGCTAATGGGGTACGAGAAAGGAGATCCAAAATATAGCGTTGCTGAGATAAAAGAATACCATCTCGATGAGGAATAACCTCAATTCCTAGGAAAAAGGATAGTGCACCAAGATCCTTAAGTGAGAATCGGCTGCCAAGGTCACGGATCAAGGCTTCAATGAAATCTGAAGAGCTTCCAGTAATTACTATGTCATCAACATAAACAAGGATATAAATAAGATGATTATGATGATGATAGATAAACAGTGAAGTGTCGGCTCTAGAGTTGACAAATCCAAGCTGAAGAAGAAAATGTTTGAGTTCTTGATACCACGCCCGTGGTGCCTGCTTGAGACCATAAAGAGCTTTGTGAAGCCGACATAAATGAGTAGGCTTATTAGGATCAACAAATCCCGGAGGTTGGAGCATAAAGACTTCATCATACAAATTACCCTGCAAAAAAGCATTATTAACATCAATTTGGCGGAGCGGCCAGCCGCGGCTGACGGCCAAGGAAAGAACCAACCGGATAGTAGTTGGTTTGATAACAGGGCTGAAAGTTTCTGTATAATCCACTCCCGGACGTTGGTGAAAGCCCTTAGCTACAAGCCGCGCCTTATATCTGTCAATATTACCATTAGGCAGGCGTTTGGTGTGAAATACCCACTTGCAGCCAACTATATTTTCTCGACCAGTACGTGGAACTAACGTCCAAGTACCATTTTTAATTAGGGCATTAAATTCATCGGACATAGCATGACGCCAGTTGGGGTCAGATAGAGCTTCCTTTACTGTACGGGGTTCAGGCGACACAGAAGAGATAGTAGTGTTGAGATTGAGTTTCTTAACGGGACGAGAAATATTGTTCATGGACCGGGTGACTATTCGTCGAGGAGGAATAGATGGAATGGGAGGAGAAGTTTGCATGGGGTGAGATGTTGACTTGGAAGGGTGACTTTGCATGGGGGGAGATACGTGCATGGAGGAGGTAGTATTGGAAATGGGGGGTGAAGTGTTTGACACGTGCATGGGTAATTGATAATTAATTGGGGGTGAATTATTTGACATGGTGGAGAGAGGAGATATTATTAAAGGTATGGGGTTAGAATTATTTTGGTGAGGTGGCGTATTATTAGGATGTGTGGGTTGGTGGGTGGAGATTGACCGAGATAATACTTGCGTATTTTCTGAGAAGAGAGGAGGTGGAGGAGAGTTTATTGGTGAGTGGATGTTTGACCGAGAAGGTTGGGAAGAGGTTGTGGAGGAATTCAATTTTGAAGTAGGAGAATTTGATGGGGAATTTAAATTTGAATTAGGAGAATTGGACGGGGAATTCAAATTTGAATTTGGTTGAGGCGGTGTGGCGGATAAAATTTGTGGCTGCGAGGGAGGTGGGCTGGTAGGGGAGGGGAGAAATTGGTGGGGTGCAGACCATGGAGTAATAGTAGGAACAGGAGATTTTTTTGTGAGTGTGGGATATGGGAATACATTTTCCACAAAAGTGACATGTCTCGATACATAAATTCTGGATTGAATGGGGTCAAGACAAAAATAAGCACTTTGACTGAGAGAATAACCCAGAAAAATGCAAGGGATTGACCGAGACTGAAGTTTATGTTGGGTATAGGGCCGAATCCAAGGATAGCATAGGCATCCAAAAATTCGGAGTTTCTTGTAATTTGGCGGGGAGTGGTAAAGGCATTCGTAGGGGGAAACATAATTAAGGGTAGGTGTGGGTAAGCGGTTAATGAGATAGACAGCTGTGGGGAGGGCATAAGTCCAATATTCGGGAGGTAAGGAGGCTTGATGAAGAAGACTGAGACCAGTTTCAATAATATGACGGTGGCGGCGTTCAGCATAGCCATTGTGTTCAGGGGTATGGGGGGGTGAGGTTAGGTGAGTTATGCCAGTTTGAGCTAAGTATGGGGTTAGAGCTTTAAACTCTCCACCATTGTCAGAAAAGAAGGTTTTTATTTTAAGTCCAAATTTATTTTCCACGAGGGGGCGGAAGACTTGGAAAATAGACCGAACATCAGATTTGTTTTTCATGGGATAAAACCATATATATTTGGTAAAATGGTCAACAAAAATGACATAATATTTAAAGTTGTCAAATGAAACAACCGGGGAGATCCAAACATCAGAAAAAATAATTTCTAATGGTTGGGAAGATTGAATAGAAGACATATGAAATGGGAGTTTATGACTCTTATTACATTGACACGAATCACAATTAAATTCCATAGGAGGTACATGACTTATTTGAGAATGAAATTTGGATAATAAATGACGAAATACAGACTGGGACGGATGACCAAGACGAGAGTGCCATTGGTGAGACGAAACTTTAATACTCGAATAAGCTTGGACAGAGGGAGTGGAAGGCCATTCATATAATCCATCTTTAGCTTGACCTTGTAGGAGGGGTGCCCCCGTGATTAGATCCTTTACACAAAAAGAAGATGGTGAGAACTCAACTGAGGCATTATTTTGACTACAAAATTGAGACACAGAAATAAGATTTTTATGAATATTAGGGACACATAAGAGATTTTTTAGATAAAAGGAACGAGTGGGAGAGGGGAGGGTGCCAGAACCCGTGAAAGTAATGGGAAGACTACTACCATTCCCAACAACGACCTCATCAGTGCCCGAATAGGGAACATGAAGAGATAAATTGTCAAGATCTGACGTAAGATGATGAGTGGCCCCACTGTCAAAGATCCACGGAGGTGAAGGAGCAGGACCGAGAACACCATTCCCAGAAGCTATATGGGCTTGCGGAGTGGGCCAAGTAGGCCGAGGAGATTGCTGCCATGGGGAAGAATCCCGAGGTGGCCAAGGAGCAGACTGTGAAGAAGGTCCTGAAGCCGAGGTGAGCCGGAAAAGAGGGCAAGCCCTAGCCGTATGGCCTTGGTTACGGCAGGCCTGGCAGATGCCAAGGTAAGGGCGTGGAGAGCTGCCAGATAAAGGATTCCGGCCTGAGGATGAGCCACGGCCAGAAGATGAACCATGACGGCCACCACGACCGCGCGATCCAGAAAAGGAGGGCCCCTTAGCGAGGTTGGCAGTGATAGGAGTGGAAGAAGACTCGGATTCCTGGAGCAATTTAAGCTCACGATTAATGAGCTTTTCATGGAGTTGAGTGAACGTGATACATGTCTCACGTCCATCAAGAGCATCAATAATCGGTTTGTAATCTGCACCAAGACCATCAAGAATGGTTTCAATGAAATCCTCATGATCCATGGGTTTCCCAAGAAGAGCTAATTCATCGGCAGCGGTTTTAATAAAGTGCATGTATTCGGTAATGGTCTTAGAGCCCTTGGTGTACTTTTTGAGTTGAGACCGGAGTTGCTTGATATGACCACGAGAGGGTTGAGCATATACGGAAGAAAGAGTATCCCATGCATCCTTGGTGGTGTTGGCACGTGTGATGAGAGAAACAACAGGAGATGTGAGAGTACCGATGAGGGCGCCAAAAAGAAGTTTATCTTGGCGGATCCAGGATACATGAGCCGGGTTGGGAGTATTGACACCATTGGAGGTGATAGTAGCAGGAGGACACGGATGAGATCCGTCGAGAAAACCTTCAAGTCCATAGCCGGTGAGAATGGATTGAATTTGTAGTTTCCAAGAGATGTAATTTGTGGGAGCAAGTTTGATAACATTCCCAAGATTGATAGATAAGAGAGGTTTGTGAGGCTCCGAGGTATTGGGAACGTGGACATCAGTAGATATGTGATCGGAGGTGGTCTCGGTATGGGGAGAAGGTGGCGGTGAAGCCATGGGAGAAGAAGGCTCGAAAAAAAATGATTGAGTTGGATCAAGGCTGTGATACCATATAGAATGTGATGAGTAAATGATTTGTGATCTTCACATTTGAAGTATGTAAAGGTATATATATAGGAGTACAATGAGCAGATAATGGCTAGCAACTAACTACTAGATAAGATTTACATTAATTGAATACATTAAATAAATATGATTATGATTTATCCCTAATAGTATCATCTCACAGGCTCCCAACAACTTGTCTCGCATCATCTTCTTCGCAAACACATAATAGTTCACGTTCTCATCAAATCCAGCATTGATGTGTGTTTTCTCGCACTAAAAATAGATTGTAATATAGTGGTGTAAGTACGAGTATCGTCTCCACAGGGACGGACAAAAGGGAATCAAAGATTAACTAAATTCAGCGATTAAAAGAAATAAATAAAATAAATGCATCGTGCGAGATATGATTGGTATGAAAAATTAAATGCAACTAAACAATTAAAATAAATGGGTTCTCTCTAATTAATGACGAAGGGAACAGAGATTGAATCCGGGGTAACCAGATTTCTGGCAGATCAGGCCTAATTACATGAAAATATTTCAATTGAGCCTAGCTAATCATTATGATGTGTGTTTTCTCGCACTTAAAAAGATTGTAGAATAGTGGTTGAAAGTACGAGTATCGTCTCCACAGGGACGGACAAAAGGGAATTAAAGATTAACTAAATTCAGCGATTAAAAAGAAATAAAATAAATAAGTGCAAGTGTGCGAGATTGGTTGGTTGAATTAAAATTAAACTAATGCGAATTGAACGATTAAAATAAAAGTGGTTTCTTCTCAATTAACGACGAAGGGAATAGGAATTGATTCCGGGGTAACCAGATTTCTGGCAGATCAGGCCTAATTACATGAATTTAATTTAATTGAGCCTAGCTAATCATTACTAAGTTCTTACCGCTCTCGCGGCGTAGAGTACAATAATTTAGGAGACCAGGCTGATCTCTCATGCGACAGGATCCTAAATTATTGCCAAGACGAGCGAGCTTACGGCCCCTTAATCGCTACTAATCTCTTAGCGAACGATTAAGTGTGTGTGAATGTGTCCTAGAACAAATTAGATCTCTCTTAATTCATTCTACATGCAATTGTAATTCTAGCTGCAGTCTAGGTTACAAGAGATATCAATTAAATTATTCAAACACAAATTAAACGGCATTCATGCAATTAAACCGTCAAGAATCTAGCCATACATCATGATTAACCCCTTCATCAACCCCAAATCCCTAATTAAACTACTCACAATTCATAATTGAAGAATCAACAGAATTGAGATGAATAGAATAAATTGTCATTAATTAAAAAGATGAACTTACAAATAATCCCAGGGTCTTGGAAGAAAATAGCGTAAAAACGGTGTTAAATTCGTCCCTAGGCCTCTCCGTAATGTTCGTAACCTCAAAATATGGGTATGGGGGTCTTATTTATAGAAAACAGATGAGTTTGGGCTGAACTGGGACTAAAAAAGGGCTGAAATTCGCGTCTCGGGTGTACGCACGATCGTGCGTGGCCTGGTACGCACGATCGTGCGTAGCAGGCAGAATGTTATCGCGTTGTTGGCTCTTACGCACGATCGTGCGTCCTTTTACGCACGGTCGTGCGTCCGTGCTCTTCAGCCTTTTTTCTATTCCGAATTTGACAAAACTTCCTTCATGAAAGTTGTAGATAATGAAGTCCTCTATCCACCCCAACTTGCCGAATGTGATTTGAATTATCCAATCAAGAGATATGACCAAAATGGTGGAAGGTGTCATTCTGAAATCGCAGCAGAGATCATCTGACTTCATCATCTGTTTTCACCTTGATCCTCTCAGATTCTCGGAATGATGTCTTCATATGATTTGTAGCCCTTGAAGTTGGCTTTCATATGCAACTTGAATCGTGTCCTTTGGATGCTCCTACAAAGAGATAAGCTTGAACGATTGACAGAAGGTCATTCTGATCGTCGTTTTCAAGCTTCATTCATCTTCTTTTGATCCCGAAGCCAATCCTAGAGCTCTTTTGTCATCAAATCTTCATCGTGAACCTCCTGGTGACCTCCAAAGATCTCAATCCACTCTCGAATGCATCTCGAATCATCCCGATTGCTCCTCAAGTGCCGATGTTCAACTCTAAATTCCTCATTTTGACTCCAAATGCAACAAAACTTGAACCAACGCATGTTAAACATAACTTGAGCTAAAATTAAGACTTGCAACAACTTAAATCTAGGAAAACCATCAAAATCCAATCCCAACACGCATCAAATACGTGTCTAAATACGGACTTATCAGATTCCCCCACACTTAAGCCTTTGCTTGTCCTCAAGCAAACTGAACAACGGGACTTACGATAATCACCACACGGAATTTAAAATAGTTAGCATGCACACGTAGTTAAATGGATATTCACAGGACAAACAATCTAAACCAAGAAAATTCTTCCCTAAACTACAACTTTGTACTCAAGCTAAACTATTTGACACAATTATTCACAACATCCTCAAAGTAATGACAGCATACACAAATAAGCTAGCTACTGATCAGAAGGACTTGTGAATGTGATGGTTAATGGTTAATGATAATAGTCCCTTTATTTTGAGAGATAGGAATATTCTAACAAAGACTTAATGTATTTAGGAACTTCAGGGCTATTCTTAGGAACAAGGAATTTAGTAGGCCACAAATTAGGAACAATCATTTAAACCTATGCAAAGAGTAGACATGGTGTACAACTAAGCTAAACCGTCTCAGCACATCTGTGCTTTGACGTATACTTGAAGTACGCGGAGGACTAAAGCTAATTTTTGAGATAGCCTCCAAGTTTATTAATTAAATTCAGTTTCCCTTGTCATGTTGGCACGAGAACGCCGTTTCTTTCGAAAGATACCCAAGTCTCATCTTACGCTTTTTGACCGGGGCTCCCATTCTCTTTTTCGTAAGGCAAGAGGTCTAGCTATATTAATTTTTCACCTTTCGGATTCTCACTAGACATTACCCCATTCTAATCTCGGCCTCACCAAGGAAAAATAGCAATTTAAGTTCATTAATTTAAAAGTGAATCCATGCCTACAATGCAATCCTCGAAAGTATCAAATTCCTAAAAAGTGACTGCTCTTACCCCATTTGGGGCATAGGAACAGTGCCAAAAATGGCTCCTACAAAAATTCCCTAAACTTAGCAAATTAATTCCTTAATTCCCTAAACATCAAGACTAAGTCAGAAATATTCATGGGCAAAGAAATAGGCCATTTGGCTATGGAGCTCAATTAATTGGGTAACAAAGAACAGTCAGGCTCAAAATGGCTTCTCCTAAAGGGTTCTTTCAGGTGGGGTGGATGATTAATGGAGAATTCAATGGGTGACTAATGCCTTCATCCTCTCAACACCTAGATTATAGTGCAAGCAATTTAAGCCTAAACACTTCAAAGATGTTCTAAAAGCATAGTCAAAACGCTAGCCAGCTCACAAAGACACAGTTTAAAGGAAAATTTTTCAAAAATTTTAACATGATTTTTCTATGAATATACAACTAACACCTGCGCATGCTAACTCTAATAATCACATGTAACAACTACTGCCCGAATGCCCAATTCACTCCCCCACACTTAAACTTTGGCATCGTCCTCGATGACAAAAAATGCACTATGCACAAGGGGGTAAAGAGGATAGGGTCACGCGTGCTCAACTTAACTCAAGTCAATTATTACAAACAGGCGATTATTAGAGTCACAGAAACTTCCCTAAGGCGTTGGTCGGTGCAGAACTAAACTGAGTCAATGTAATCCTCGGCACATCATCCCTATAACAAGACCCTGAGCTGAAACAAAAACACAAAGCAAAACAACCAAACAACAAACAAAGCAAAAGCGAAAACAAAAGCAGAATTACGCTCGGGTTGCCTCCCGAGAAGCGCTATTTTTAACGTCGTGTGCCCGACGATACCTCGTAAGCTCTCAAATACAAAAGACTGTAATGGTGCACTAGTAATCAACGTTTCCAGCTTCCCCTCAACAAATGCCATTAGGTGGCGCAGATTCTTAAATTCTCGAATATGCGTAGGCAGCACATGGTCTTCATAATCCTCATCAGCAGCACAAAAGTGAAGGATGAAACTCTCATCCTCTTCAGGTGGATAGGAAACATGAGTGAGAACTTTGATTACTCTAGGTATCACCGGAAGCTCAAAAGATGTCTCGAAGCAAAGATTAGGAGCAACACCGTGATCGAAGTGCACCATAGAAAAGTCTTTTTCTTCTCCACAAACAACATGAACATTCGCAACCTCTCCTCCAAACTCTGTATCACTCTCCATGAATGCATCCCAATTCGTTTCGTCACTCTTCTTATTAATATCCTCCAAGCAGTTGTGATCATTCTCCACACACAAAGAAATATCATCACCAAGGAATGGATCAAAGAAATCCAAATCTGAAACCACGTAAGAGTGGACCGGTGCATGTGTACAAGAAGGGAATTCTTGCTTGTGGAGCGGAACTTCTTCATTATGGACATCATCTACCTCGCCCCCACTCTCTTGGAGCATGTGATCATCTTTTCCCAACTCATCTTCAGTACCCAAACCTACCTCAGTAGCACAATCATCAAGACTGATCTTCTCCTTTCCCTCCTCAGGTGCTGAGACTAATGGTAAATCAAATGGCTGGGGAGTTTCTGTATGAAAATCACAGTGATCAGTGACTTCATCAGTTACAACTTGTACCGTTTGAAACTTTTTCCTGTATTCTTGGAAAAACAACTTAACACTACTATCTTCTTCATCATCTTCAACCATAGGTGGGTCTTCAAAGGCATCAAGAAGTGTATCATCCATCATGTTCCCACTATCATAGTCTGACTCGCTCACGTGATCATCCATATTGGTCTCCTCGGGTTGAGCGTCTGTGTCGCTAGGATAAGATCTCTCGGACTCCTCAGATAAAGCCTTTCTAATCTGCCCTAATTGATTCTCCATGTTCTGCCTCCTTGTGTTTGCTTGCTGTTGAATTGCCATGCTCGCCTCAATTTCTTGCATGAATTGCTTGAGTGTTTCTTCCAGGTGAGACAGCTTCTCTGAAATTATCTCTTCCACTTCATCCGGTGGTTCATAGCTCGGCAAAGACGTAGGAGTGATTGAAACATTTGTGTTCGTAAATTGTGGGGAGGAAGAAGTGGGGTATGCAGTTTCCTGGAAAGGATGGTCATATAGAGGTTTGATGGGGCAAAGACATAAATGGTGATCTCCTCCACAGAAAGAACAAATGCTATCCTTAAAACATTCAGATATTTCCTCAGGCGTTTTATTTAGAAGCATAAATTCAAGAATGGAGCCTCGTCTTACGCTTACCCAAGGGTAATGTGATGAAGGATAGTAAAAATCAGAATGAAAGAGTTGTGTGGTTGGAGTGTATGGATAAGAAGGCTGAATATTTTGTGGTGTAGGAGAGTAATTTTGATGAGGTGAGTAATATTGAGGAGGAGGAGGAGTGTAAGGAGGGTATGACGTATATGGTGAATATTCCATGGAGGTTTGAGGGTAAGGAATTCCTCCAGGAATTTGGCTGAATAGGTTCATCTCATGCCTCTTTGAAAAATACCTGAAAGGTTAGCACAGAAAAAAAAATCCTACGAAGAACTAAAAAAAAAAAAAAAACTAACTAAAAAAAATCTCGCTGAAATTAATTAACCCTTAAAACCGACACCGTCCCCGGCAACGGCGCCAAAAACTGATGTGTGTTTTCTCGCACTTAAAAAGATTGTAGAATAGTGGTTGAAAGTACGAGTATCGTCTCCACAGGGACGGACAAAAGGGAATTAAAGGTTAACTAAATTCAGCGATTAAAAAGAAATAAAATAAATAAGTGCAAGTGTGCGAGATTGGTTGGTTGAATTAAAATTAAACTAATGCGAATTGAACGATTAAAATAAAAGTGGTTTCTTCTCAATTAACGACGAAGGGAATAGGAATTGATTCCGGGGTAACCAGATTTCTGGCAGATCAGGCCTAATTACATGAATTTAATTTAATTGAGCCTAGCTAATCATTACTAAGTTCTTACCGCTCTCGCGGCGTAGAGTACAATAATTTAGGAGACCAGGCTGATCTCTCATGCGACAGGATCCTAAATTATTGCCAAGACGAGCGAGCTTACGGCCCCTTAATCGCTACTAATCTCTTAGCGAACGATTAAGTGTGTGTGAATGTGTCCTAGAACAAATTAGATCTCTCTTAATTCATTCTACATGCAATTGTAATTCTAGCTGCAGTCTAGGTTACAAGAGATATCAATTAAATTATTCAAACACAAATTAAACGGCATTCATGCAATTAAACCGTCAAGAATCTGGCCATACATCATGATTAACCCCTTCATCAACCCCAAATCCCTAATTAAACTACTCACAATTCATAATTGAAGAATCAACAGAATTGAGATGAATAGAATAAATTGTCATTAATTAAAAAGATGAACTTACAAATAATCTCAGGGTCTTGGAAGAAAATAGCGTAAAAACGGTGTTAAATTCGTCCCTAGGCCTCTCCGTAATGTTCGTAACCTCAAAATATGGGTATGGGGGTCTTATTTATAGAAAACAGATGAGTTTGGGCTGAACTGGGACTAAAAAAGGCTGAAATTCGCGTCTCGGGTGTACGCACGATCGTGCGTGGCCTGGTACGCACGATCGTGCGTAGCAGGCAGAATGTTATCGCGTTGTTGGCTCTTACGCACGATCGTGCGTCCTTTTACGCACGGTCGTGCGTCCGTGCTCTTCAGCCTTTTTTCTATTCCGAATTTGACAAAACTTCCTTCATGAAAGTTGTAGATAATGAAGTCCTCTATCCACCCCAACTTGCCGAATGTGATTTGAATTATCCAATCAAGAGATATGACCAAAATGGTGGAAGGTGTCATTCTGAAATCGCAGCAGAGATCATCTGACTTCATCATCTGTTTTCACCTTGATCCTCTCAGATTCTCGGAATGATGTCTTCATATGATTTGTAGCCCTTGAAGTTGGCTTTCATATGCAACTTGAATCGTGTCCTTTGGATGCTCCTACAAAGAGATAAGCTTGAACGATTGACAGAAGGTCATTCTGATCGTCGTTTTCAAGCTTCATTCATCTTCTTTTGATCCCGAAGCCAATCCTAGAGCTCTTTTGTCATCAAATCTTCATCGTGAACCTCCCGGTGACCTCCAAAGCTCTCAATCCACTCTCGAATGCATCTCGAATCATCCCGATTGCTCCTCAAGTGCCGATGTTCAACTCTAAATTCCTCATTTTGACTCCAAATGCAACAAAACTTGAACCAACGCATGTTAAACATAACTTGAGCTAAAATTAAGACTTGCAACAACTTAAATCTAGGAAAACCATCAAAATCCAATCCCAACACGCATCAAATACGTGTCTAAATACGGACTTATCACATTACTAAGTTCATACCCCTCTCGCGGCGTAGAGTACAATAATTTAGGGGACCAGGCTGATCTCTCATGCGACAGAATCCTAAATTATTGTCAAGACGAGCGAGCTTACGTCCCCTTAATCGCTACTAATCTCTTAGAGAACGATTAAGTGTGTGTGAAGGTGTCCTAGAAAGAACTAGATCTCTCTTAATTTATCCTACAAGCAATTGTAATTCTAGCGCGCGTTCTAGGTTACAAAAGATATCAGTTAAATTATTCAAACACAAATTAAACGGCATTCATGAAATTAATCCATCAATAAACTAGCCATACATCATGATCAACCCCTTCATCAATCTCAATCCCTAATTAAACTACTCACAATTCATAATTGAAGAATCAATAGATTGGGAAGAATAGAATTAATTGTCATTAATTAAAAGAATGAAACTTACAAAGAATACCAAAAGATTGATGAACAAGGCTGAAAAGCCCTCTAAAATTCGTGTTAGGCACTCTCTCTAAGCTCCCCCCCCGTTGAAAACGGGGGTTTACAGGCTGTTTAAATAGAAAAATCGGGTGAAATTTGAGTTGAATTGGGATTTCCGGAGGCAGGCACGATGCCAGGCACGATCATGCCTTCGATCGTGCCTCTGGAGAAAAAACGCGCATTTTGGGCAGGCACGATCGTGCCTCTCTCCAGGCACGATCATGCCTGGCTGGCAGCAGCTCCGCGGTGCTTTCTCTTCACGCACGATCGTGCCTGAATTTGAGGGCACGATCGTGCCTACTTAACTTCTGAATTTAGCAATGCTTTATTCATGAAAGTTGTAGATAATGAAGTCCTCTATCCATCCCAATTTGCCGAATGTGATTTGAATCATCCAATCAAGAGATATGATCAAAACGGTGGAAGGTGTCTTTCTGAAATCGCAGCAGAGATCATCTGACTTCATTGTCTGTTTTCACCTTCTTCCTCTCAGATTCTCGGAATGATCTCTTCATATGATTTGTAGCCCTTGAAGTTAGATTTCATATAGAACTTGAAACGTGTACATTGGTTGTTTCTACAAAGAGATATGCTTGAACGATTGACAGAAGGTCATCCTGATCGTCGTTTTCAAGCTTCATTCATCTTCTTTTGATCCCGAAGCCAATCCTAGAGCTCTTTTGTCATCAAATCTTCATCGTGAACCTCCAGGTGACCTCCAAATCTCTCAAATATTTCTTTAATTCCTTCAAATCCTTCCCAAATGCCTCTCAAGCGCCGATTGTCGGACCCTAACTTCTTCAATTCAACTCCAATTGCAACGAAACTCGATCCAACGCCTAATAATCACAACTTGAGCTAAAATTAAGACTTGCAACGCCTTAAAGCTAGGAAAACCATCACAATCCGACTCCAACACGCATCAAATGCGTGTTTAAATACGGACTTATCAAGCATCTAAATCTTAGGGGAATAGAGAGCCAAGAGCGCAGACAACGACCAGAGAGTGCCGGCGGGGAGTCCTGGTGGAAAGCATGAAACATCGTCAGAACATGATTGTCTTGCTCCGACAACCACACCTTCAAGGTCGAAGAGCCAACGACTATCTTCTCAGACAACCAAGCACTTGACTGAGGGAGATCGCATCGAACCTGTGATGCCTTCCTCATCATGACTCGCAAAATTCCAGCTGTGGTCATGGAGTATTGCTAAGCTAGGGCCATTCACAGTTGTTCAGTCTAAGGATACGCCTAGCGAGGACGATGTCAGATATTTTGATATTGAACTCATCAAATTAAAGTTGACCAAGGAAACCAAGTAGGCGACTGTAATCCCTGCCCAAATCGCCAACTGGGAAACCCCTGCCCAAATCGGCCATCATAGTGTTGTTGTGTCAAGGTCGATAGTTTCGAATCATATTTTTAACAGCTTTATACATTAATTATTGTCAAAATTAGCATATATGTTGATGTTATGAGTGTTATCCCTGCTTTATAGAAATTGAAATGTTTGAAGGTGTTGTAAGTTTCTGGAATTCAATTCAGACCTTATTGACCAGTTTGTTTTTCAAATTATGGAGGGATTTGGTCAAAATCTGAAGAACCTTGATTGTTGGGTTAAGTTTAGCACCCATATTCGACAGTATTAACCAACTTGAACATCATCAAAGCTCTATTCACCTCTCTTCAATTTTAGTTTTTTCATGTATGTCGAATTGATTGATAAGGTAAAGCTCTATTTCTTTTGGGCTTGATTCTTTTGGTCATACATAGCATAGTTAGTTCTAAGCTCCTACTTGTGAACATGTACTTGTGACTTCCGTTCTTTTAATATTATATTTGTAATTTATTTATACCTTAATGGCTTTAACTCTTTTACTTAGAATTGTAGAGTGTAGCTTATCTTCTAGTTTCAAATTGACAATAATAATTTTTTAATATTTGATCCTCCATTTGATTTCTATTTACTGGTAAGTGATCACTAGGTAATACAGAGTATGTATTACTTTATGATTCAACAATGATTTTTTCTCTAAGTCTGTTATAGAGCATGTGTGTATATGATGATGTATTGTATGTTTTGTGATATCTTTTAGTAATACAATTAAGTCAATGGTTATCTTTGTTGTGATAACTTTCAGGATCACAAACGTTGTTGGCAGGAGTATGTGGTCACTTTTCACCATTGGAAGCATAGAGACACGCAATTTCTTTCCAGATATAGTTAATACTTTGTACTACATTTGGAACTCACTACAAAAAGGAGTTGTATTAAGACTACCTCATCTCCAATTCTTCTTCTGTCGTAACTCCTAGAGTGATATCCCCACCACTACTATCTTGTTGTTTCCCATCATGAATGTAAATAAAAATGTTAAACTATGAACTTAGTGAACCCTTATTAATGTTGTAATCGTATTAGAGGAATTTGGTTGGTGATTCCTGGCCGGATGATTCCTTCCTCACTCTAAAGCTTCGCGGCAACACTGTTCACGCTGAAGGTCAACGCATTTAGCTCTGGTTTCTCTTGATCAATCTCTGCTTGGGAGGTGTTGTTAGCTTCCCCTTGGTGTGAGGATTAAGCACATATACTTTATTCAAGCATCAAGGAGGTTTGATTTTTTGGCCATTTTCTCCAACGGATCTTTCCATTCTCGGCACAACCAAGCTTAGAATAGAAAGGTGCGAAGGCATATGGCAGAGAGCTTGACGTTATTGTTGGAAATATTGCTTTAAACAATTCGTAAAAGTAGGGATCAATCATCAGGAAACTACTAGAAGGGGGTTATCTGATGATTTAAGCGCCGATGATCGGGAACCCTAGCACTTCGGCGGCACCGCCGTCGCCAGAGCAGCCTCCACCTCCGGGAAGGAATATCTGGGACTCTAAGCGTACTTTTGTTTCTGTTTTACTCAATAAAGAGGAAGCTAAATTCTCCACCACTCATGCCCGATTTAAAGGTATGCCATCAGTTTCGTTTTTGGAGGATGATGTTCAAACACTTGCAGATCAACATAAGCATGCTTTAGTTGGTTATTTCTACAAGGGGCGGCCACCTCTTGCCACTATAAGACGTTCGTTTGAAATCATCGGTTTCAAAGGAGTTTTTCATATTGGATTGATAGAGAAAAAACACATCCTAATCAGGTTTGATATGGAAGAGGATTACATTCGTTGTTGGAATCGCCAAAATTGGGACATTCAAGGAAATATAATGAAGGTTACCAAATGGTCCCCTGATTTTAAACCGAATGTTGATTCGCCCATTGTTCCGGTATGGTTGGTGCTGGAAGGTCTACCTATCCACCTTCATGATAAAAGGGCTTTGTTCGAAATTGCAGGACTAATAGGCAAGCCCCTAAAATTGGATGTTGCTACTGCTACTCTGGCAAGACCATCCCAAGCCCGAGTTTGTGTTGAGTTAGATCTCACTAAGGAAATGCCTAATAAAGTGTGGATCCAAGCTGGAAAATTGGGGTTTGTTCAGCCTGTTATCTATGAATACAGGCCGTATTACTGCACCAATTGCTTTCACCTGGGACATGAAGCTAGTAGGTGCCCAAAAAAGATGATTGAAGGTAATATAGTGCCTCAGGTTGAAGCTACTGGCGCTAAAAATAATAAATGGGTTGCTAAAACTCAGACTACTACTCAGGCAGATAGTGTGAAAATAGCCAGGAAGGACAAAGAATCAGACCAAAACCAAATTACATCGGGGAAGTCTCAAATTACATCAGGGGGAGTTACACTGGACAAAGGGAAGGCTATTGTAATTTTTAAGTCTCAGGAATCTCACATGCCTTCATCTTCTCAGCTTCTGCCTTCCCAGCCACAAAGACAGGATTCTGTTCAGCCACCAATTCAGCCACAAAGACAGGATTCTGCTCAGCCCTTGCTTCTTGCTTCATCTACTGCTCAGAACTCTCAGACTATGATTCAGGAATCATCTGCTAAGCAATCCCAGAATATGACCCAGCAACAGGTTCTTGACCTAACAAATAACATTGATTCAGAATCTGACATAGAAGAGGTTTTCCATGAAAAACCACCATCTGCAAAAAAGGTCTCTAATGAGGATAACAGATTAAGCATGAAAAACCTAGATTATTTAGTTCATGGTAACATTCCTGGACTTACCACATCAAAGCAGGGTAAATCCATCAGGGATGACTTTTCAATCTTTCAACTGGAGAAAACCAATGCTTTTGATCCTGAAATTGCTGCAAAAGAATATGGATCTGATTCAGAGGTACCAAACCATACAGAATCTAAAGAAGATTGGTTATTAGCATTACCTGGTTTAGAAAATAAAGTGAATCAGTTGGTTAATTCAGGTGTAGTCAGGGATGACTCAGAACTGTTGTCAGCTTTAGCTCTTACTAAGGATGGCATACAAAATCACATTGATCCAGGAGGAGAATTTATTACTGTGGGGAGGAGGAGAAGGCAGAAGAAAACTTATACACAGACTCCAGGGGTTATAACTAGAAGTACTGCCAGAAGGCAAGCACAGACTATTCCCCAACCTCCTAAATGAATGGTCTCATATGGAATTTGAGGGGTCTGGCTGCCTCCGGGCCAAGGCTGTCTCATCTTATCTCTAAATGGAGGATTCAATTTCTCATTGCTATGGAGCCCATGGTTTTTTCTAATAAAGCAGATTTTTTCAGAATGGATTTTGGTTTCTCTCATGTTCTGTTCAGCCCTATTAATAAAGTTTGGATTTTTTGGAAGTCTGATAGGATCCAGATTTCTGATGTTACCTGGGGTCCTCAGTCTACTCATTTTAAATTTTCTTGTGGTCCACAGACTGGTTGGTTTACTGCTATTTATGCTAGACATACACAGATTGAGAGAAGAGATTTGTGGACTTATCTAGCTAATATTGCTGGCTCTATTCAAGGTCCATGGATTGTAGGAGGAGACTTTAATACTATTCTGAATAATGCTGATCATAAGGGGAACACTATTCCTAATCAAACAGGAATGCAAGAATTTCAAGATTGCATTTCTCAGTGTGATCTTATAGACCTACCTTTTTCAGGCTGTAAATATACCTGGACGGGAGTCAGATCTAGGGGTAGGTTATGGAGAAGACTGGATAGATGCCTGGCTAATGATGCATTTCTGGACCTCTTTGAGTCTGTTAAGCTTACCAATCTTTGCCAAGCTCCTTCTGATCATTCTCCCATGTTACTACAATGTTCTACACAGATTCAATCAGGGCCCAAGCCTTTTAAGTTTCAAAATATGTGGTTGACACATAATTCATTCTTAAGTGTGGTTTCTAAAAGCTGGAATGAGACAAGTAGTGGAGGGGGGATGCATGGACTTGTTATTAAACTTCAACAGCTTAAGAAGGTCTTAAAAAAATGGAACAGAGAAGTCTTTGGAAACATTTTTGATGATATTAAATATGCTGAGCAGGAAATGTCTAAGGCTGAACAAGAGTATTTGGATCATAACACTGAAGAAAAAAGGGAGAATTGGCAGCATAAAAAAGCCTTACTTGTTAGTAAATATAGAATTGAAAGAAAATTCTGGAAACAAAAAGCAAAGGTTAAGTGGTTAAAAGATGGAGATGCTAACTCCCAATATTTTCATTCCCTAGTCAAGATCAGAAGGAAGAGGCAGCAAATTCATTCTATTAAAGATGCAGAAGGGAGATATCTTACCACCTTAACTGAAATTGGCAATGAGGCTGTTAAATTCTTTTCTGAGTTGTATGCCAACAAACCTGTGACACTGCAAAATGATATTCTCAGGCATATACCCAATATTGTCAATCAGATGGATAATGATTATATTACTGCTATGCCCGAGGAAGATGAAATTAAAGCAGCTGTTTGGGATCTGAACCAGAATGGAGCCCCAGGTCCAGATGGGTTCACAGGTAAATTTTATAAGAAGTGTTGGCACATAGTGGGGAATGATGTAGTTAAAGCAGTTCAGGAATTTTTTATTGGAATTCCTCCTCCTAAAGGTTTTTCAAGCTCATTAATTGCTTTAATTCCTAAGAAGGAAGTTCCTGAATATTTCTCTGAGTTCAGACCCATTTGTTTATCCAATTTCTCCAACAAGATTTGTACTAAAGTCTTGGCTTCTAGACTGCTCAACATTTTGCCTAAGATTATATCTGAAGAACAGGCAGGTTTTGTCAAAGGAAGAGATATTGCGGATCAAGTTTTAATAGCCCAGGAAATGATCCACTCCATTGATAAAAATATAAGGGGTTCTAATGTTGTTATCAAGCTTGATATGGCTAAGGCTTTTGATAAGCTATCTTGGGATTATCTTGTTGATATTTTATCTAGATTTGGTTTCTCAGAAAAATTTATTTCCCTTGTTAAATCCAATCTTCAATCCACATATCTGTCTGTTATCATTAATGGAAGCCCTCATGGGTTCTTCCAGCCTAAGAGGGGAGTCAAACAGGGAGACCCTCTCTCCCCATTTCTGTTTATCATTGCTTCTGAAGGTTTTTCTAGAGGGCTGAAGTCCAAAATGGAAGAGGGTTTGATTAAACCATACTGGATAGGCACACAAGGGCACTCCATCAGCCATCTTGGCTTTGCTGATGATCTCTTAATATTTACAAATGGAGATTCCAGGTCTTTGATGAGATTTAAACAATTTTTAGAAGATTATCAACTTGTTTCTGGACAAACAGTAAATCTTGAAAAGAGCAGTTTTGTTTGTGGGAAGAGAGCAACTTACAGGAGCAATATCATCAAGGATATTCTGGGAATGAAGAAGTCCAATCTCCCTATGAAGTACCTGGGATCCAACCTGCATAAAGGCATGAATAAATTTAATTATTGCTCTCAGTTATTACAACATTTTGACTCTAAACTCTCTTCTTGGAAACATAAAAATCTGACTCAGGGGGGGAGATTAATTCTCATCAAGCATGTTTTGAGTAGTATTCCCAATCATATTATGGCCACTGATAAGCTTCCAAGAAGAGTAATTACTACTATTGAGAGAAAAATGTCAAACTTTTTATGGGGCTCATATGCCAATAGATCTAAATTTCATTGGGCTAGATGGTCTACACTCTGCTATCCTACCTCAGAAGGTGGACTTGGGATTAGGGCTCTTTCAGATATTGAAAAAGCATTCTCATATAAACTATGGTGGAAGTGGAAAACCCAAGATACTTTATGGTGTAGATTCATTCAGGAAAGGTATCCTAGAGGGGAAAACATGAGACCTAAAATAACAGATTCAAGCATCTGGAGGAGACTTTGTGAAGTTCATGATGTTGCTACTGATTTGTGTTCTTATAGCTCAGAAGGTATTATGCAGTGGGATCCTGGTATTCAAGGTTCTTTCTCTCTGAATTCTGCATATAATGTAATAAGATCACACAGGTCAGTCACTTTTACTTATGAACACACTTGGGATAAAAATCAGATAATGCAGATTAAGATATTTATTTGGAAGATGCTCAATTCTTATCTGCCTATCACTGACAACCTTAAGAGGTTCCAAATTACTCTCCAACCCTCAAGATGTCCATTGTGTAGGAACAACAGCGATACTACTGAGCATGTATTTTTTGGTTGTTACTACTCCAAGAAAATTTGGCAATATTTCATGGGAGTTTTTGGAATTAAAATGCCTGAGGAAGCTCGGATTAGGCAAATTTTTATTCTATGGTGGATTGAAGCAGGATCAAAAACCCTGGGTGATATAATTATTCATAATATGCCCGGAATCATTTCATGGCATATTTGGAAGAGTTATACATCTGCCATTTGGGGTTCAGGTACCTTTCCTAACCCAGAGCAACTGATTTTACAGATTAAACTCTATACACAAAATTGGGTTTATTCCTTGGCAAAAATCAAAAGGAGAGTGGTGGAAAGCTATCTTATTCATGAATATCTTGTTCCGATTAACTTCAAGTTTAACAATTCTGGAATACAAATTGTTAAATGGAAAAGACCTAAGAAAATGTACAAGCTAAACGTAGATGCTTCCTTCAAACCTGGCCATATTATGGGGGGAGCAATTCTTAGAAATCGGACTGGTGAAATGGTCTGGGCGGCCATCTTCGGCGTCCAGGCGAGTTCAAGCTCAGAAGCGGAGCTTAGATCTTTGATAAAAGCTTGTGAAATGGTGATGGAGGCCGGTTTTGTTGATGTTCAAGTGGAAGCCGATGCTTCTCAGGTGATTGCGGAGGTTTTGGGCGATTCAGGAAATCTAGCTTCTTTCAGGCAAAAAGCAACGGCCAGTGGATTTTCATTTGGACATGTCTTTCGAGAAGGTAATGGGCCTGCACATTTGCTTGCAAACCATAGGTTGGACTCGGCCCACACTATGGTTTTTAATCAGATTGATCAGCTTCCCATCGAGGTTAAACATGGTTATTATGCAGATCTGTTCGGTTTTCCAGTTTTACGCACCTAACTTTGTATATCTTGTTCGTTTTATTGCTTCGTGTTACAAGAGGTTTTTGGTTCGGTCCCCCTCTTTTGTACTATTTCCACATTATCATTAATAATACATTGGTAAATGTACTCCGGCATTTACCCCACTGATTTTGGTGGTTTGCCTTCCGGGGAAAAAAAAAAAAAAAAAAAAAAAAAAAAAAAAAAAAAATGTTGTAATCGTATTATATTCTTTTGTTTTATTTTGTTGCATTTTGTTTCATTTTGTTTTATTTTGTTGCATTTTGTTTCATTTTGTTGCTTTTTGTTGTGTTGTCTACTTATTGTTGTTTGTTGTTGATTTCGTTGTGTATTTAGGTTTTATAATTATTTTTTCTATTTCGTTTTTGGATTAGGGGCTACCATACACATATATGTAGTCACCTAAAATGATAAATTTAGATTTATGAATATAAACAAAAACTAGAAACATAAAGAAACAATAAAAAACAAAAAAAAATAAAATTATCAACAAAAAGAAACACATAGAAACAATAGGCAACAAAAACTAATAGTGTTAACAAAATAATAACAAAAACTAAAAGTATCAACAAAAAGAAACACAGAAAGAATAAAATGAAAAAGGAATTAAACTTTGTAACTCCTTACAAAATTAATAAAAATCATACTTCGTAATATTTTCAAGTTCCTTACGCTTTTACTATTTTAAAAGTTCTATGTTTTCATGCCTTTTAGTTTAATTAAATTTTCTGATTTTATATTTTTTAAAAGAATTCTATATTTACATCTTATTTTATAATATGTATTTTTATTTTTTAACCTTTTCCAAGTTTATATGTTTACAGTTTTATGTGCTTCTTACATAGAGTATGTTATGTTGTCTCTATTCTTCCAAAATCAACGTGGTGACCGTGTTGCTCCCAAATTGACCTCGTTGACTATCTAGCTCCGAGAATTGACCTGCAAAATAATCAAAAAAAAAATACTAAAAGTATATTAGTGGCTCGAGACGCGTCAGACGCTGTCCTAAGGAATTATTTCCGGCGTACGGAAATTTCCCCCAAGATATAACGAGCCCTTCGGTTATAAAACCGGTACCAGAACTAACGAGAAGAAATTTGTATATGAACCCAGCAATAAAAAGGCTAATATGTTTTCTAGAAATTAAAGTATGAGTTATTAAACCAAGCCAGAGTGCTAGATATGAAGCTTTGTGCAGTGCATAGCACGATCACACTCTCCACTCATCACCATTCTCAAATATGTTCAAAGAACCAAAACGATCTTTTATCACAAACCCATACATCAATC